TTTGCTCTGATTTTGTTAAAGATCGAGAGGCGAAGGCAATTGGTCTGTCCGTTCCATTGCTATAGCGGTGAGACAGAACAGCTCCCACACCTACCGGTGAAGCATCAGTAGCTAAGACCAGAGGTAAGCTAGGATCAAAGTGAACCAAAACGTCGTCACTTGTGATAATTTCCTTAATCTTCTGAAAACTCTTTTCACAAGATGAATTCCAATTGAAAGGATTTCCTTTTCGTAGCAGTAAGTTCATCGGATGTAGTAGTGTTGCCAAATTCTTTATGAATTTGTTGTAATAATTTGCTAGGCCCAGGAAAGTTCGGAGTTCAGAAACGTTTTCTGGCCTTTTACATTTCAGAATGCTCTGTATCTTGGTATCTGACTTATGTAGCCCTTTGCTATCGATCACATGACCTAAATACTCAATTTTCGTCTGGAAAAACTTGCATTTGTCTCTATTTAGCCTCAAATCGTTTGTCTTCAGTCGTTCGAACACCTGTTTCAGTCGGCGAAGAAGCTGTTCCCGGTTAGATCCTTGGATAATGACATCATCGAAGAAACATTGTACACCTTCTAAGCCATGTAATGTTTTGTCCATGAATCTCTGCCATAACAAGGGTGCCACTTTTACTCCAAACATTAATCGGTTCACCTTAAACAGCCCTTTATGAGTACTGATTGTTTGCATTATGGCACTGTTTTCGTCCATCTCCAGGTGCAAGTATGCATTACTGATATCAAGAGTACAAAATATCTTTCCACAATGCATCTTTGACATGATATCATCGATCCGAGGTATAGGGTAGTGTTCGTCTTTGATGACTTTGTTCAATGTCACCTTATAATCAGCGCATATTCTGACTGAACCATTTGGTTTGACGACCGGAACAATTGGTGTGCCCCAATCAGATGATTCGACTTGTGTGATTATACCCAAAGTTTCCAGTCGTTCAAGTTCTTTCTCTACTTTTTCTTGTAATGCATATGGCATGTGTCTTGGTTTGATGTAAATTGGCTGGGTTTCGTCTTTTACATTAAAATGGCCCTTTTCGTTTGGTATTTTCCCAATGCCTTCTTTGAAAATGTCTTCGTATTGAATCATCAGTTTATCTAGTTCTTGAATGTTTTCATTTGTTTCACTTGAATCTAATGAATGTATGTCAGCTGCATCAAGCTGAATCTCTCTTATCCATTCTCTTCCGAATATAGAGTCTACACACTTGTTTACAATGTACAGTTTTCCAACAAAATTTTGATCTTTGTACTGAACATCTACAAAAACAACTCCTCTTGGATTGATTATTTCTCCAATGTATGTCCTGAGTTGAACATTTGTTTTGAAAATCCTTTTTGGAGAATTTAAAAGTTTAAATGTATCATATGATACAATGCTGAGAGCCGCTCCTGTATCTAATTCCATTGTCATGAGTCGTCCTTCCACTTTTACCTCGAGCATAAACTTGTCATTTGATTTTGAATGAAGTTGGTAAATTTCATGAGTGTCATCACTTGTATTTTCTACGGTTTCATCTGATTGTTTTACTTCCTTGTTTGGTTTCCTTAAGCACACTCTTGCTAAGTGACCAAAACGTTTACACGAGTTGCATTCAGCATTTTTGAACTTACATTGATGAGCTCTATGTGAATCATCACCACATCTATAGCACTTGTTCTTCAGTTTCTCAAAACGAGATTGATAATCAGAGAGTTGTATATGATTAGATTTACTTGACTTACTATCCAGGTGTTTGTTCTTGCTCGATACTTGGTGTACTTCCTCTCGATTTTCATTTGTCTTAACTATTCTGCTCTCACTTTTCGCTAGTTCCAATGTAGCTGCCTTCTCGACTACTTCTTTAAACGGTTGCAATAGTTTATCTTGAAGAAGATGAAGACGTATATCAGAGTCTCTTAGTCCCCTGACAAACTGCATTCGAAGTAGAATTTCAGATACGGATTCATTACAATGTGTACAAGTAAACTGGCATTCAACACTGAGCTTTCGAAGAGCATTTGCGTAAGCTTGTACAGATTCATTACAGAGTTGAGTACGTGTTGTGAATTTGTGCTGACGTGCCCAAATACTGGGTTTTGGTTCTAGTTGTGCCATTAACAGATGAATCAATTCCTCATATGGCTTGTTATGTGGATCATCTGGTATGCAAAGATCGTAGAGCTGTTCGTGTATTTGTGGGGTGATTGATTGTAAAAATAAATCCACTTTGACCTTTGGACTTAAGTTTCCCCGTAATTTTGTGTAGTTTTCAAAGCGCCGAGTGAAGTTTTGAAAACTTTCCTCTTGTGTATATGGCTGGAAAGGAATATTAGATACATGTTGAGATATTGTAGATGCAGACATAGCAGTTTGTGTACTGTACTTTTTCTTTTCTGCTTCAAGGAATGTTCGTATCTCTCTATGTATTTCTTCTAACTGCCATCGAATTTCTAATTCACTTTCTACTGAATTCGTGTGAAGTTCAATATTTGACTGTGTAGCTTCGAGGTCAGTCCATATTGCTGAAAGCTTATCGGTATAGTAAGTGCATGTATCTTGAGAATGTTCACATGTATGTAAATCATCCTTGAGTTTGTTCAAGCGTAGTTCAAGCAATTTCCTTTTCTTGAGATACAAATCCAATTCTTTTCTACTTACCATTTTACTCGTCGCCATTGTTGATTCCACTAATTTTACTACTAAAAGTTAACATTTTGTATAAGAAAATATAAAGTAAGTTTTTATTAAATCACAATCTGTAAGTAAACATAAACAATTCAACAAGTAAACAAAAGAATAATTTGAACACATGTTAGAAATAAAATGTAAATAAAACATATGTTAACAGAACCCAAGCAAACGAATGCCACCGGCCAAGTGACTCATGCCCCAGCCTTTTCGGCTATCTGTGCTTGGAGATTATGGAGTAAAAACTGGTATTTAAGCTGACATCAACAATTGCTAACAGATAGCGCACCTGACGGCGCTACAACCTAGTTGTTCAATGCGTTACTAGGTAGCAGCCCTAGTTAGTCTCGGACTATTTAGAGGATATTTTAAGCTGAACCACAACAGTGAGCATAAATGGTGTTACTGTGGCTTAACTTACAAACAGGGTTTTCTCCTAAAAAGGTTATATTATAATAACCTTGAAATCTAAATCAAGGTTAATTTCAATATTACGTTGTAAAGTTTACAACGTAATATTGAATTTAACCTCAACATATTACGTCTTTCGATTTTATGAGATTTTTGTTTCAAATAATGTTAAAAAATACATTACAATTTATATAAGAAAACTTGGAAATGTATAACGAAAAGACAGTTTTTTTTATGTATACTGCAAATACCAAGACTTTACTTTGTTATATATTTGTTATTGTCTTATTATTCCAAATTAGCCTGATTAGTGAAAACAATACAGTTACAGTTCAACAACAGGTAATGGAATTAAAAGGCAAACAAAAAGTCTTACATAATTTATTTTTGTAAAAAAATACGACCGACTTCAAAATGCTCTAAAAAGAATGAAATAATTTCAATAAAGTAAACTTTTGTATTAGGCAAGCTCACGTATTTCAAGTCGGCGCGGCTCAAACTGCAAATATGATTGAAATTAAATATTGTGTGTGTATTTTGAAAATCAATAAATTGTAGCTGGATAACATATAAAAAACATACTGAACTGTTTTGTTTATATTTTAAAGGAAATATTTTCTTGTATTTTATGTTTACTTCAGAATAAATGCATTATGAAAATAACACACACAAATGTTCTATATGAATAGAAAAATAATTTAGTTTGATATTATTATAGGGAAAAGAAGCTAGTTTAGTATTAAAACGTTACTTTTCCAAGTTAGAAACATTTAAATGCGTTATAATCTTTTTAAAGATACTCGTTAATACCACTATAATGCCGATCTCTGATGAGGGTAATAAAATAACACTTAACGCATAACTATGAAAAAGACATGCAGATTAACACCTTTAGTTATAGATAGTCACCTGCAATATGGACACACTCTTTCAATTTTGTATCAAAAATCATCATAGAGCCGCGCCGACTTAAAATACGTGAGCTTGCCTAATACAAAAGTTTACTTTATTGAAATTATTTCATTCTTTTTAGAGCATTTTGAAGTCGGTCGTATTTTTTTACAAAAATAAATTATTTCATGATTTTTAGTGACTGTATAATTTGTTATATATTAATTACTTGAAGTTTTTTGATAAGCAAAACTGCTTGAAACAATCAAAAGTGCCACAGAACAATCATTATTTTTAAACTGCTTGAGTCACCTGTTCAGTTTACATAATCATGGGTATAAAAATTAACATTTTTGGATTTTCCTTTGATGTAAACAACTTCTTTACTTCACGAGTGAAGTAAAGTTTCAAAAACTCACTAGTGAAGTAATGAAACCCATTTAAATAACATTGAGTGTTCAACTTAAAAAAAATTACCTCTATGGAGCCAAGGACGTTCAGTGCTAGAAATCAGCTGTGCTCTTGAATTTTATTGTTATGCTTTAAAGAATTTTCCTAACCTAGCTTTTGTTTGTATAAGAATGTTACTGTTAGAAGATGAGTGAAATGGAAAATGCAAAATATTGTACGTAACGCCCCGTATATTGTCGGGTCAGGTAAAATCTTGTACGTTACACATTACGCAAGAGCGTGTTTACATCACTTAGGTGAATTATGCAACTCGCTTCCGCTTGTTGCACAACATTCAGCTGCGTGATGTAAAAACGCTCTTACTACTCTTGTAAGGTAAATAGCTATTAGACAACTATGTGTAATCCATAGGCTTCATGGATTCTTTATTCTAAAACTTTATGATATATTATTTATTGTCAATGTCAATCTATTTCAATATTTTATAATAGTTTAGATTATTTATTCTAAATCTATTTCAATGATTATGAAACTGATTTTTCTCCCCTCTGCGAAGCACAGGTATAGCAGCTAGTCTTTAAAAAATGGGACTGGAGAAGAAAATAACATGTTTATAATAAAGTATTTAATAAAATCAGAATAATAATTTATATTCAGACAACAAACATTTATACATTAGGAATGTACAAACCGGCTAACAACTTTAACAACTTCTGATGAATTATCTTAAGTCCAGAATATAGACCAATGGTGTTTATGCCAATATAAATTCTGAACTGAGGGTGGCCTTGACTGAGGTGAACATCTTGGAATGGTCTTTGTGCAGTATGTTGTTTATTTTATTTTGTCTTAACACGTTCAATTAAATGTAAGTCTTTATCCTTTCACTAAGCATTTTTTATATTAGTAAGATAACTTCTCAAGTAACTTCTAATAAAATCTCATCAAAGAAATCCCAAGATTGTAATTTTTTTTTAAATACTATTCTGTATCCAAGGAACACTTTTCACAACTTCAATGTAGGTAGCAGATTTTTTTGTTTCAACATACAACTGGACTGAGGGTAAAATGCAGACCTTCATTTTCTGGCACCCTCTCCTAGGAAGTTTTGTTTTCAAGTTGGCAAACCAAAACAGTTTTCACACAGCAATAACCAATAAACCTATCACGTCAGGTATATGATGACCAGAACTATGATTAACAATGTGATGACCATTCCTCCAAACAGGATATATTTGTCTTCGTGCGCTCTACGCTCGATGAGTCGCATGGTTGTGTTTGACAGTCCTAGAGTGTTGGCAATATCCATGATCCGACGCTGTGCACCTTTCAAAGTGTTCCTCTGGTCCCTGAGACTCTCGAGGATTCCACTGCCTGTCCGTAACATGTCGTCTACTCCTCGGTTGGAGTTCTGCAACAACATAAGGAATATTTTAACCAAAATCAACAGGCAATAGGTTTTAATATTTTGACATTCTCCTATATGGATGTTGTTAAAGATCCTCAGTGTGTTGTTTGAGTTTTGCTGAAGAAATGTATACTGAAAAGTTTATTTGCCAAAAACATATGTTTAATTATGGAGGCAAAGCCGAACACCAAATTTCACATGCAAGGCGAATATGAGAGTGAGTTTCATGTTTGAAGTGAAGCAAAGCGGAAAACAGGAATAATGGAGCAAACTGCCAGAAAATCGCTTTCGGTTCAATTTATGAGAAAACCAAACCAAAAACTTTGATCAATTTTATTGAGTTTTTGCTAGTATAATTCATACCAATTATGGAATTTTCATCAACTTTTACTGATAAATGAAAACACTTTTAAGATGATTAATATATACCTATCTACATTTTTAATGTTGATTTCCATCTTCAAGTGTAAAAGTGGGCAACTTAAAATATGAAAACTCAGTAAAACGTCATCAGTCTTGGTTCCAGACTTGATTGCAATGTTTTATGGAGGTGAGGTTCCACTTGTCAATACAATCAATCATAGTGTTACTGACCTGTAAAGCTGTGTTATGTTGTAGCGAGTGGTCGATGATGATGGAAGTGTCGTGATCAGTGTGTGTGAATCGTCGACTCAACAGCTCTTCCCTCTCTCTCTCCTCTTGTTGTCGACGGTAGACCTCATGTTGATGTGACCTTAGAGCTGCCTATGGATGGAAATAATAAGATACTAGTGTAACATTTACTTCAGATATAACTAATAACCCCTTCTAAGAGTAAAAAAAGGAGTTTTTGAAGCAATTGAATGATGCTGGTAAATTTCAAAATTAAGTATAAAAATTGATTTTTTTATGTTGCATTGTCGTTGGCATTTTTTCATATACGTAATGAAGCGGTAGAAACCTGGTTTTGTACCTATGTTAGCACCATCAGTAATTGATAAGTTAACCCAACAAATGGTATTTGGGTCCAGAATTGATTTGATACGACTGGATCAAATTGACAGCAACCATAGGTATTAAGAGTTATTTATCATCCAAAAATATTTTGTCATACACCACTGTGATTAGAACTTAAATATCTACTAAACTGTGGGATTAGAAATGTACTTTGTAGTTTTGAATTGTTCTCCAATGGAGTCCATGAAAGATAACGGCCATCTTCAATTTGCCCGCCTTAAGTGCAATGTTAATTTTGTTAATTTTAAACAGCCGCTAAAGAGTTATTTACCCTCTCAAAATATTTTTTCAAACACCATAGTGGTTGTAATTTAAATATCTAGTAAACTGTGAGATTATACATTTTCTTTGTAGTCTTTTAATTGTTTTACGAGTTAGAACGTCTAGGCTCCAAGGACTCTTAACAGGCACGTTACGGCGATGGCTTGCCAATTACAAACGATTCTTGCAGAATGCCTTCATTGCTGTCTCCTTGTTTTCTGCGCTTCTTCATTTTCTCGCGTCGTTTTAGACGCCGGAGGTAAACACCGATTGTAAAGGTAATTTCATTCGGATTTGATTTCAAAGGGATCTTTCCATTCTCAAAACAGCTATGTGTTAGTGGTACAGTACCACACTCTTAACTCTGTCCCATTTGTTATATATATTTTTTAAATATAAATATAATAAATTTGTTGTAGTTTCTTTGTAGTTCTTTGCATATAGCCAAGCACTATAACCAACCACTGAGATACCGTACACAAGCAATTTGGTTTTTATTGATAGCATATGATTAGGCTTAAATTTTATAGATTGTTTTCATAATTAGCTACAACCATGTAATTTAATTTACAAACTTGTTTTGTCACTTAAACGCATATAATTTTTTTAATCACCACGAGTGGTAGGATAGATATTACCTGTCCTAATCCTCATATATATTAACAGTCCCAATCTTCCCTAATTATCTATTGATGCATAGCCTCCTCTAATACAAGGCTGAGGCATTGGTGTGTCAACGTCGCAACGACATTCTTATTGCCATGGTTATAACAAAAACAATAAGAAATAATAACAAAAGTGTAAACATAAACATTGCCAACACGATCCATTATAAATTATTGCAACAGCTGTTTCGGTTTGCCTAGACAGCGTTGTTGCCACTTTTATGTCGCCGTGGCCTTGTATTAGAGGAGGCTATTATTAACCCTCCAAGCTTCACTTGTCAAAAAATCGACTCACGACACACTTTGTGTAGTGTCACTTGTCGATTTTTCGACACACGAACATCGTTTACGGCGAAGGCTCTATGACTGACGAAATCGGATTGAACTGGATCGAGTTAGGTATCGTTCTTTTTGTTAGATTCAGAGCTTTCTCCGGAGGTCTGTCTCTAAGCGCTATTCATTTTAGTTCCGAAAATATTGTAGCAGACAGCTGACGTGCGTATTTGTAAACAGCTTGCTTAACCTCGGACCGATGACTGATGTGTTTTATTACGTTTATCATTGTTTTAGTGTTAAAAATCAAAAGTAGTGATATACGTGGTGCATTATAAGAAGATTTAAGTGATTTTGAAGGGCTGGTTGATGATCCTGAAGAAGTAGGTAGTGATATTGATGTAAATTATCAGCCAGATTCCTAGCTATGGTTAGGCTATGCATTCTTAGCTAAACGCTATGTACTGAAATCTGTTTTTTGCCCATAACTTATTTATTTGCAAATCTACTTCCTTATATTATTATATATTTGTAATCCTCATAAAATTTAGCACAAAGTGGCTATTTTCAAATATTTATAGGCCTATAATTTATACAATTTCATTGAGCGCGAACTTATTTTTTTTTTTGAAAATTTTTCAAAATATTTTTTTTTACCTAAAAAATTTTTTTTAAACAAATGTTTCTTATGTTTTATGTATAATATTGAAGCCCGTGATTTTCCAAAAAAATGGTATATAGAACAGTAGAATTAACATTGTTTTAAGCTTCTCAGATCCGTTTTAATAAAACCTTGCAAATGCGCCAAAAATAGGCGGACATTAAGGCCTAAACTATGGACACTCGGAGGGTTAATGGCTATCTTTAATATCTAAATATGAAAGGTTTAATTTACCCGTTGCGTCGATTGATCCATAAGTTATATGTTTCGATCTGCTAAGCGAGCACAACCTCAGGTTGCATGAACGTTAAAATACAGTCTTCTCATCCGTGGATGAAGTCATCGGCATATTTAGGACACATAATGACTCATGACTCATCATCTACCGCTACCGGTTACACAACCCGTGTTCGGACTAATTGGTCAAGTTTTTTATTGTAAATATTTAAATGTTTCGTATGTGTTTTGTGTTATGTGTCCTAAATGTGCCAACGACTCCATCCACGGATGAGAAGACCGTATTTTAACGTTCATACAACCTGAGGATGTGCTCGCTTAGCAGCATGAAACGGCCATAGTTATTTCATAACTTAAGGATCAATCGACGCAACAGGTAAATTAAACCTTTTATATTTGCATTATCTTGATCCAGAGGCTAACCCATCATGAAATTTAAATATTTATCTTTCTAGAAATCTCTACTTAATGCTTTTTTTTCATAGCACTTTTGATACTTGAGTCATGCATCAAGGTACCAACCTGAAGATGCTGGTTATCATACTTCAATTGGTCAACTCTTATTTTAGCATTCTGCCTTCTTGATATTGGCTCTTTATGCACCATTATGTCTAATTTTTCACAGTTGCTAGAACAAAGATTATGTTAGCTTTTGTTTAAAAATTAGACGCCATACCAACTAGCCTAATGAAAAGAATATGTGGTTACCAATTTAAAAAATGGGAAAATACTTAACTTTACTAGTCATCAAGTTTGATGATGGTTATTATTCTTTCTCGTGGATACCACTGGTACTTTATAAAACTAGGTTAGTGATAAAGACTTTGTGGGACATTATTAAGCCCCCATACACGGGCGAGCATGTTCCCGAGCATGCTCGTGACGATGTTGGTCGCCCGTGTGTGGTATCCGTTGCGGCGAGCATGTTGGGCTCGGCGCTCGGCTCGTCGGACCTGGCGAGCCCGAACACGAACATGCTCGCCCGTCTGTGGGGACGACCAATATGTTCGAGAGCATGTTCGCCGAAGCAACTCACCCACAGTGGGTAGAGATAGGCTAAATGATTCCATCGATGTAGCTGCTACTATGATTCCAGTTACACTCGTGGACTCATTACCAGTAACCGTTCCGATTCCAAACGATTACGTCATTATACACTATATTATACACGATGATTATACGATATTTACAAAGTAGCCGCAATAGACAGATTGCACTTGCAATCATCATGGTGTTGATACTCTGATGTATTCCAATTACAGTAATAGATTTAGATTCAATGTTTACAGAAGCTAAATAAATATTTATTTGTGTTTGTAACACAATAAATACAAATTTAAATTAGTTTCCAAAATAGAGGGTTCATCAATTAAAATTTGTATATTATTACACAGAAGTGTACAATCAATTCTGTAGTAATTTGTCACAGTTAAATAATAATTCTAAGAAATGCTAGAATAAGCAAAACTACGAGATATGTTTTTGCACAACGATGGAATTTTAACCAACATTATTTTCAAACCATAGCGGATGAATTTAATCTGGTTTAATCTTAAGGCCTGGCACACACGGTCGATTTTTAGATCGGCCGATTACAAAATCGGACAAAAATAAATCGCCCCTGATTTATGATTAAAGAAATAATGCGTATGTTGCAAAAAAAACTAAATTGCAGCAAAAAAGCAGGCGCACACGTGGCGATTTTTTAGTCAAAAATATTTTTTCTGTGTGCGCTATGGAGCTATCTTAAAATGTACTTTGTTGAATTAACCTGTGTTTGTGCTCTTCTATTTATATAAAAAAACATTGTATATATTGGGTCCATCTGATAGTAAGTCAGAGACTTTTAAATGGACTGTTTTTGAAACTGTACACTTGATTACGTGATGTCAGTAAAAGGTTCTTTAATTAATATAGAATGTTTGTTGACAGCTTTAGGCTAGGCGAACAAGAGCGATTATTTTGAGGTGATTATTTCATCGGCCGATCTGTGCATCATATATCAACTATCAATAACAGGTTTTTATATTGTTTATATTGTTATGGTGTTTCTAGCATAACAATGGCCCCCTAGCATAATATTTATATGAGCATTATCATACATAGTAGCCTACATTTTAAAGTATAGGCTATATTAGAATGGAAGCGCGCACACAGGCGATCGAAAGTAATTAAATATTGAATAAATAAATACACACAGCTTGACAGTCACAGCGCACAAGAGAAGCAAGAATAGGCCTAGGAACCGCTACCGAGCGACGAGCATGTTTGCGAGCATGCTCGTCCGTCTGTTGGAAACACCAAGCATGTTCGCAAGCATGCTCGTCTGTCTGTTGACAACGCCGAGCATGTTCGCGAGCATATTCGCCAACATGCTTGCGAACATGCTTGCCCGTGTATGGGGGGCTTTAGAATTCAGAATCTTTTAAAACCTCAAGGTATTAGAATGTAAAAAAGCAGGCCACAGTTGGTAAGGTTATTCAAATCAATCTCATTTTTTTGTCAAATGTTATAATATTGTTGATTGAGTATGAAATTGAGAGTACCTACATTACATACCAAATCCAGTCCTATATCCAATTCGTAGTAGTCACCACTAAGTTATGATTGATTTTACTATGTTGAAAAGATGACATAGTTAGGCATGACAATGGTAGGCATAATACATTCCAAATTTCTGGTGCAGTAGAATCTCGATTAACTGCCACTCTTTCTATTGTAATTTTCTATTACCCGTCATCTCAAAAATTTGTATTCTACTATAGTTAATGTATGTTTTTGAAGACTGGATTAAAATATATATACAGTACAGTATGTATTAATAGCATACTGTAAATTAAATAATTATATATAAATCACAGTTAGTAAGTTATTCTGTGTTATCTCTTTCAAAAATCATTTTGATTTTCCAAACCATGATCATCTAAAGGAATTTCAGCTATCCGTCAAATCTAGTTAAATGTCAGAGACTTGAGATCTCAATAGTAACGCTAATAGAGGGTTTTCTGTCCATGATTAGGCTATTTGTGTTTTGTTGGGGTTCTATATTCCTTGATCATTGATTTAATTACCTTGTTATTTGATCTATTCTTGCTTGTATTTCTTTTTCAACTTCAGGCCTATTAAACGATAAATCCTGGAAGCATTGTTGTGTTTCTTGTAACAATCTGTTTGTTTGATGATATAGAGCTTCCATCTTAAATAATTGATGATCTGCAAGGAAAACATTTACATCATAAGTTCTAGTTTCATAAAGTGACATCGAAAGGAATAATACTTAATTTATCTGTGAGCATTAAACCACTTGTACCCATAGTACTTATAATGCAATTATGATGTCAGATAACTTAGCCTATATAATATAATATTGTAGTTTTTGAAAGAAGAAATATACAGCAAAGAGCAAAATTTATCGTAATTTATTCCACTAATATTTGCATGAGAGCCAAGTATAAAATTGGATCATTTAAAATAGTTTCATCCTACCTACCAGTAAGGTATTAGGACTCACAGCCCAGAGAAGAGTTGAGTTGAAGTGTAGTTTCATATAACATATTCAAAATGGTTTATGGTTCATAATGTTCAAAAGAAAATTTTTAAGACAAGAAAAGGGCCTAGTGCGTTGGAAAGCCAGTGTGTGCAAGCGGGCATCAAAAAGAGTTGTTTAAATGAGAAGAAGAAAGGATAGACAAATCTATTATTTTATATATAGGATTGTCATAAAAAGTCAAGTTTTGAGTAAAGAATCTATTTCTTACAAAATTGAATACCTAGGCTATAATAAAGTTAATCTACTGTGAACAAAATTTAGATTTTGAACTTGAGCTCAATTATTTGGGCCTACTTTACTGTAAAAAAATCCCAGAACTAACAAAATTGAGTTTTAGCCTATAAGTTAACTTTTTACGTAAACATCGCGCAGCAACATAAACATAGTGATACATTTTAGCAATCGTAATAATATTTCTACATTTCCAATTCAAGAAATCCTAGGCAATAGTTTTAACGCCCCAAGCTACCGGTAATGGTACATAGAAACTCAATACTTCGAAACAGCCTTATTCAGATGTTCCGCAATCAAGAGATGCCAACAGATATTCTGGCTGGGGAGCTGAAAATCCAACCATTGTGCATGAGGCGTAGCATGGCCGATTTTGGTTTCTTATAAAATCTGCTAAGGGGTTATATATGCTGTCCAGAGCTGCTCTATCAGAAGTAGGCCTAAACATTAGAATCCCTTCCATAACAAGATCCAGGGACCTTTTCGGCCGTCGTTTCAGAGGCACCGCGTGACTTTCACAGTGCTCTGGCAAGAATTCTCTGGCTGGGCAACAGAGTTACCTGTGATCTTGACTTCTTTGCCGACAGCTAAGTTTACCCCTCCATAAGGAGGACAACCGAAGAAGCAACCTTGGTGGAGATGTTCGACTAGCCTAGTAAACTATCTAAGTTATTGTTATATTATTCTTTGTTAAATTTATTTATTGTTATATTAGTTCATTGTTATATTTATATTCTTTGTAAACTTAATTCATTGTTTTATTACTTACTGTATTCTAAGTTAGGCCCCTATCATAGATTTAGCATACCCTAAGGGAGTGTCCTTAATCTATGATTCCATTAAGTACCGTATCAAATTAAATTTTATTGTTCGGCTTTTTTTATCTATGTATTGGCTAAGCCATTGGTATGTATAAAAAATTATCTGTACTGTAGCCTATATTTAGCTGTCTCAAACAAACGTAGACAAATTATAATTGTGTAAGTAAATAGGTATTACGTTTGAGAGTCAATGTTGGAAGCTTAACTTACTACTGTACAACCTAATGACTAGCGAATGGTTGAATGATTTTGATCTCTTATAGTATACTTTAAATGGACCGTATTAATAGCCTTTTAGCCTATTTTCATGTTTCAAAGATAAAGAGGTGCCAATCAGTTGGGTTAGGCTAAGTTATGTAGTACCAGCATATGTTCATGTATTATCACTTGTAATACAGCATGAGCTTAAATATTTACAATTGTTTCATCATATTTACACATGGACTCCTTTTTATCATAAAGTTCTAGACATAATCTACTTCCTTAGGCCTAGTTAAGTATTAAGTTTAACCTGTAAGAGAATATGGAATGTAAGTTTGGCAATTTTCTGCAACGAAATTATTAATAGTCGATAAATTATAAAAAACGCCTATAGACGAAATACAATTTTTTCAACAATATGCTTAATAAACTGGCCGGCATGGTTTATTTAATTACTTACTAATATAAATAAATAGCAAAATCTTAACCTACAAACTGTGCTAACCTCAAACACCAAAACAAAATAAAATAATTGGCTTCCTTATGCTTAGCTAAGTGTTAGCTAGCACCTCCCCTTCCCCTTCCCCTCCAAAGAAAGCCACTAGCCAAGACGTGTCAAAAACAGCTGAACCAGAACCACCTTTAACCACGCGTCATAAGTATACCAACACAACACAACTAATTTCAATACTGTTAATATTGTATACATGTAACAAGAGAGAAAATACTCAAAACAATAAGTATTTTTATGCACTTGCTTTTGTCAATAAGACAGAAGTATTAATCAATAAAGTATTAAATTTGCAGATAACTAACTTGTAACAATTTATTATTTAAGAAACCATTTATGACTAAAGACTTTCTCAGAAAGCACAGAAAAATACAGTTAGTCAAACAATGGAAGGCCATTGAACTAAGAACCTTTCTCATGTACCTAGGCCCGGTTGTTTTAAAAGGGGTTTTTTTTTTAAAGACCAACATCAAACTTTTTTGGTACTACTTTATGTAGCAACATCAATCCTGCTGCATTGTGACTTGTGCCATGATGATGATTACTTGGAGTTTGCAAGACAACCTTTTAAAGAGTTCGTGAACTCAGTAAAAGTGATATGGTGAAATTTATAAAGTACACAATTTTTACAACCTCGTAATTTAAATTGTTGCACTTGAGTAACACTACAATATTTCTGTTTTATTTGTAGGGGTTTTATCTCTATAAACACAAAATGTTTATTACAGACAATGAAAGCCACAAAAATAACATATTTCGCTTTAATTGAAATCCAGATTCGTCATCATAGCATGGACTCGGTTACAGACCATCTCATACAAAAACTACAGTACAGTACACACAATCCAGAAGAGGGTCGTGAACAATAGAACAGATTCAATACCGAACATTGCAAACCTTTCTTCATAGCCAAAGCCAATGAAATCCTCATCCTACCATCCCTCTACATCACCGAAACAATCAATTATTTTTTTTAAAACTTAGCTTAAGGTTCATAAATTATTGCCACAAACTTCTGAGAAACTCAAAACTATACTAACAGGTGCAAGTAACACCTGCACAGACTAACTCTCAAACTAGTACACTAAACTATAAAACACCAGCGCACTCAGATGTTGCCAACACGATACATTCACAACAGGATAAGAAGTTAATTGCACTGTTTAAAGTCAATAATAAAACCGCGTGTTTATAATTAATTGCTATTTATAGGAGTTTTTTTAATGTTTTTACAATTTTTATTTTTTATGGTGATTTTTTCCATAGAATAACGGAAAAAAGGAATGGCTCGAACAGTTTGGATTAAAATGTAGAAAGTTATCGTCCTTTTAACTCGAAACAATTAACATGGTATAGGTAACCCCATTGCTTTAAAAAATTGACGTTCAAAAGTTATTGTAATTTTTGTGATTTCGCCATTTAAAAAACATAAAATAACGGAAAACTCAGATTTTAGAACAAACGATTCTTCAAACAATAAATTTATATTTATATTTAAAATGTTTTGGTCCTTATGATTCTAAACATAAGGCCCCGTTTATGCACCAAGAGCGGGAGCGGTAGCGACAGCGGGAGCGATTTCTAACATCATTCAGTTAAATGGGGCGGTTTATGCACGAAGAGCGATAGCGGTAGCGGTTGACCTCCCGCTGCGATTTCTAATTCGCCCGCTGTGTAGTTAGAAATCGCAGCGGTTGCTTGGAATAGAGCGGTTTTCAACTACATTGAGTCAAATGGGACTGTTTATGCACGGCGGGAGCGGGAGCGGCTGCAGCCAGGGTCGCCAACCTGACCCACGCGCACGTGCACTTAGGATAAATAGTTGTGTTGATTATTTGGCAGAGTTTGAGCTGGCAAGACTGTGTCCCCCTTCCATTCTCCGTTGACCAACCGCTATCGCTATCGCTTGCACAATTTTGACAAAACTTTTACAGCGGGAGCGGGCCCGCCATCGCCCCGCTCCCGCTCTTGGTGCATAAACGGGGCCTAATCCTAATGGTACAGCCCCCGTTACTGTAACAAGTACGTTTCTCCAGTTATTGAAACTTTTGTGATTTGCCCTATAAAGCTTACTCCCACCTTAATGATAAAGGTTGATTTACTTTTGAAAGTATGTGTCAGATTACGTGTAATTTGTTATTTCCCATTCACACAGATCAATATTTTATTTATTTGTTATTTGCTATATAGGTGCTTCGCAACGGGAAAATGTCTATTATACCGCCTAATCCAAACACTTTTTAAGTAGTTCAAATTTATAAAAAAAGCCACCGAATTTATACACAAAGTATAACCTACATTGTAATTTACTGTTTACATGAAACTATATCAACAACATTATTTTCATAACTTAGACACTTTAAAAAACGAAAGCAGTGCCTGGGTTGACACATAAACGGTTGGTTATATTTTTTTTTTCATTTCCATAATCAAATGACATAGTTATAGAATAAATAATCCATGACAAAGTTTTGTGTAAAATATTATATTTAATTTGTTTGGATCAGCTGTGTGAAATTGTGAAATAAGCATTTGGTGTTTCTATTTCTGAGGTTTACATTGAAATGTCAACGCAAAGGTAAACATTATGAATTTTCTCATGCTTCCAAGAAAACTAATTAATATTTACTGTTTAAAACCTCACTTCAAAACTTTGGACATCCTAGGGGCGTAGCCCAAGAGGAACTCAGGTAAGTGAATAAGTTTAGATATGTGGACCATCTTTGTGCTTAATTTTGGCTGTACTGTATCAGTATTTAGTCGTGACAGCTGCCCAGACAGACAGGCAGACACCACTTCGATAATTTCATAATAGCAATGATATTGTGGAAATCAGCGCAGTCTTTTTAGCGAATTTCCCATATAGGGAATAAGCTATTACCGAAGGTCTCATAGTAAGACCTGGACCCGGGACTTATTTACTTTTTCATTTTGAGGTCCCTATCCTAGAGGCTAAAAACAACATCCGTTCAAATGCATATATCTATATGTCCGTTAGCACGATAACTCGAACAAAAATGATCCGATTTTGATGAAATTTGGTATAAACGTGTAAACCTACATTCATTCGAACGAGCTCGCGAACCAGCATGATCGGACCACGGGAACAGGGGTTTATGGGGGGGGGGGGTCTTATGGGGTAAAAATAGGGTTTTCCCATTTTTGACCCTAAAAACACAAAATTTCACAATTTATTTCTAAACCATCTTGTAGAGCTTAAAAAAAGAAATAATTTAGTATATTGAAGCGCTTTTGTATGCGTAACGGTCACGGGAAAAGTTCAAAAAAGTGTAAATTTAAAATTCGTATGTTATTTTTATGGAGAATATGAAACTTTTTGTAGTTTACTTGTTTATGGATATATGTTGATAAAATTTGGCAAATTTATTTATTTCATACTATACTATTGACGTTTGGTCAAAAAACACTTTTTTACTTTCCCCGTAGCAGCAAACCTAAGCACTCGTTAAATCTAATGCTATTTAAATTAGGAATAAATATTTCTTATTTATAGAAATATTTTAGTAAAATTGTAATCAGACAAGTGGAAATTCGCTTAGTCTCCAGGTTTGCTGCAGCGGGGGTATTTTTTTCTTCATATTATTGTATCATGACTTGACTGCTATACAGTGCATATATTTGACTGCTACTCTCTGTATTGTATTCCAACTTAGGTTGGGTTTTTGTGTATTGTTAGTTGTTATGTGTTAAGTAGGTAGTTAAGTCTTTTTCACTTGAGGACGGGGTCAGACAAGGCCCCACTATATAGAAAAACATTGGGGCCTTGGATTAGATTCCATATCCCGAAATTATTTTTTATTATTTTATTATTGTGTATTATTTTTTACCATTGTGATGGAAAATGTCCGCAATAAACCTTTGAACAACATTAACTCACCATCAATAGCAATGAACTTCAAACATAGAATTGTCAGCTAACGGGAAAAACGAGCCTCATCGTTGCTTTAGATAAACGTTTTGACAGTTTGCCATTAAGTTAAAAACCCTGTTTAAAATAATTGTTTTAGCTGTAATTTAAGTGAAATAAAAATGATACTGTGTATGATAGTTTCCAAATGTCCTGTAATACTTTCTGTGTATTCTTTAATCGATGTTTTCACCTAAGCGGTTTTTAATTTGTACTGTATTTAAAACGTAATAAAGTATAGCTTTTGCTCGGACACTAAAACAATTCCCCTTCGCAATATCACAGTTTTCAACAATTCCGATTTATTCAAATAAGACTACGATATTTCAGGATGATTCCACGTTCGAGATTAAATATCGCAAAATGAATATTTAAGTCTTATAAGGTGAAAAACGATCGAGTCGCGTCAATTCTGTTCCAAGAATCCGTCGGTTCAGTAATCGCTGTCATGTCTTCCTACAGGTTCAGAGGATGTAATATCAAGATTATTAGGTTTTCAAGAGATCTATATTACATCAAGTTAAAAAGGTATTCAGTTTTATTCCTACACTAGCTGGCCCGACAGACGTCGTCCTGTCCTAATGTGGTTTTATGTCAATGCTCGTTCATTTGCAAGATGAGCTCGTTTGCATGGCTCAATCACGTCCTGGTTGAAGTTCGTTTGCTTTACTCACTTTTAGGTTGGAGCTCGTTCGCTACGCTAACTCGCCTCCAGGTTGAAGTTCGTTCGCTACGCTCACTCACCTTTTGGTTGCAAATTAGTTGTTGTCATAAATTAAAAAAAATAATAGTGCTGCACCCTGTTGGTAAACCTATCAACTTTTTAATGCTATTGAACATCACAGAATCAAATTGTTTAGTTGAACGGTTGAACCAGCTGTTAAGATTCTTTAATTCCATTTAAATATGAGTACGCATAAGGTTAACATGGGAAACTCCAGAGCCACTGGGGCGGAGCCCTTTTGACGGATCTGCACCAAACTTCACACAAACCATCCTTGAATAATGCTTAATAATGCCTGAAAGTTTCATTACAATCTGTCGAGCGGTTTCGGAGTCCATAAAGGACAAACAAACAAATATACATACATACATTGGATTTTATATATATAGAAGATAATACACTACCAGTAAATACCAGTTTTAATTACATTTTTCATTACTCGAGAAAGTGTCATAGGGCATATATTTCGCGTTTTTCAATAATATTCCTGAGTACAAAACATAATTAATAAGAATTTTGGTAATAACTACAGTAGTAACTTTGATTCTCGTTTTATCACCTCCTTGAGACTGTCAACACAAGTCTGTAGGTACCGGTCCCGGTAGCGTATTTATTTCTAAAGGATTGAATGACGAAAACAAAACATACGCTCGTCTTTTACATCAGTACTTTAATACTTTTCATTGAAATTGAAAATGTGACCATACAAAGTAGGTATTTTAAGCCAAGTATGAATGGAGATGAGTTCGTCCCATACGCCAGACAATATGCAATAAAAACCTTTTTTTAGAAAAAGTTTACACGATCACGATCCTTTTATTTAGCATAATAGTTTTAGACAGTTGCAAAATTTGTTTTATGATTTTCGTTAGAATTCAAGAAGGTATTAAACAGTATTTGTCATGCCTTCCTAGCGTGTTTTTTTTTATAAATGCTCATATAGAAAAAGAATACGCACATAAAACTGTTGTGCCAATAAGTATTCACTACTTACAGAGTTTTTAAACTTCATTATGACGTCGGTTCTGGAAAATGTATTACTTTACGAGTAAATAAAAAAAATGTATGTTGACAGAAAACATCTCCGCAACTTTTGATTGGTCAATACCTAAATTCTTTGGTTAGTTTGTTCATAGTCATTTTTTTTAGATTTGTATGTACTCGTATAACGCTTTTTTGCACGATCAATACATTACAATACAAAAAATTAGATTTAAATAAAAAAAAAACTATTCAAAGGAAATAAATAGTAAAAGCAGCAAAGGTTATATTACCTTGATTGTAGCCTCAATCTACAAAATTGCAGAAGTGCTTACACTTTCTGAGAACCCTTGTTGCAATTATTTGTCCAATACTTTGATATCTTTGCACTTATTGTATTGTTTGGGTTGCTTTTCAGAACCAACATGTGTTTTGGTCCTTTATCGACGAACACATGTTATGTGTTACAGAAAAAGCTTTTAAGAAAAATTTAACAAGTTGGGCGCTTTCCAGAAGTCCTATTGTATGTTTATTTTCAGTTTCAGTGTAGGAAGGCTGCATTATACCCTACTAATATTATAAGTGAGAAAGTTTGGATGTATGGATGGATGTTTGTGACAAGTAAAAGCGAAAAATATTAAACCGACAAGGTTAAAATTTGGTATGACGATAGCTCACATTCCCGATTAACATATAGACATATTCTAATCTCAAAAAGCCTTCCGTGCTCCGCCCCAGTGGCTCTGGAGTTTCTCATGTTAACCTTATGAGTATTCAGATTTAAAAGGAATTAAAGAATTTTGTCAGCTGTTTCAACTACACAAGTTGTTTCTATGACATTAATCAGTATCATTGACTATACGCAGAATAGAGTTCCCATGTGGTATACAAATTTGAAGCCAAAAAATAGACAAAGTTCAGGACCATCTAACTAGAGTTTACTTAGTGTATTGGGTTAACTTATTAGTTAATAAAACCAATGCAGTATAGCAAAAAGCTGATTGATTTATCGCTTAACCCATTGTCATTAGTTGGTGACCAGCTCAACAGATTGCACCATCACGTTTTTTTTTCTTAAAATTTTTACATGGATCCGTTAGCACGATAACTCGAGCAAAAATGATCCGATTTTGAGGAAATTTGGTTTAAACGAGTAAACCTACCTACATTTATTCGAACGAGTTCGCGAAACAGCATGATCGGACTATGGGAACGGGGGTTTATGGGGTAAAAATTAGTTTTTCCCATTTTTGACCCCAAAAAACATAATATTTTGCAATTTCTTTCCAAACCATTATGTAGAGCTTAATAAACAATAATTTAGTATACTGAAGCGTTATTATGTGCCTAATGGTTACGGAGAAATTTTCAAAACTTGTAAACGTAAAAATCTCATGTTATTCTTATGGTGAAAAGGTAAACTGTTGTAGTTTGCTTGTTTATAGGCATATTTTGATCAAATTTGGAAAATACATTCATATCTTACTAAACTATTAACATTTGAAAAAAACAATTATTTACCTTCCCTGTTGCAGCAAACCGAAGTACTCTTTAAACTAATCCATACTTATTTAGGGAATAAATGTCAAATTTTTAGGGGACATTTTACTGTAAATCCAATCAGGCAAATGGGAATTCGCTTAGTCTGCAGGTTTGCTGCAGCGGGGGGTATTGATTAAGGATATAATTAGTCACTTAACTAATATTCTTTATTTCAACGGTCATGTATAATGCTATTATAACAGTAAACATCTAAATAGACAATAGATAATAAATGCTTTAATCTGATGAAAACATTTGACATTATCAAATAATTGGTTCATATTTCTATATTCTAGAGAATGTAGAATAATATTTTAAAATCATACCAACAATTAATTTTGTAACTATCCTACTTGAAGCATAAACTCTATCTTACTCTTATAATTTTGCAATCACCATTCTACTTGAAGCATAAACTCTATCTTACTCTTATAATTTTGCAATCACTATCATACTTGAAGCATTTAACTCAATCTCACTTTTATAATTTTGCAATCACTATCCTACTTGAAGCATTTAACTCTATCTTACTCTTATAATTTTGCAATCACTATCCTACTTGAAGCATTTAACTCTATCTTACTCTTATAATTTTGCAATCACTATTCTATTTGAAGCATAAACTCTATCTTACTTTTATAAATTTTGCAATCACTATTCTACTTGAAGCATAACTCTATCTTACTTTTATACATTTTGCAACCACTATTCTACTTGAAGCATAACTTGAAGCATAAAACACTGATAACCGATAGACAATGCAGGATGACAACGGCAAGATTCGCCTTCCTCTCGCGTCATGCATTGATTATAGTAGTAGTACAATAATGATAACAGCACTGCAACAGACAAGACAACAGACATGGTCATTGGGATTGGCCGCGTCTATGGACGAACGGAGACGAAGACACCCGAGCGGTTCCGAGCGTAGTCGAAGTTTTCCGAGCGTTTTCGCAGCAACGTGCAACAACTGGAACGCGTTCGGCGCGCGCGTTCAAAAAACCAGTCTGTCACGAGCGATGAAGGTAGCAACAACGTCGCCGGCGCTTAAGACATCTTTTACGAACTTTGTTTATGTCAGTGGAATGAACAATTTTGTGTAGCTTAATTGTCAGTGATTTTTGTGTACAAAATGTTTCTCCTCGGGCTACTCGCGGTTTGTTGTACTTTCCGGTTTTCTCTCGCGATTGTTGATTTTTGTGATGTTGACAGACGAAATTCATCCGTATCATCTCCCGGGATACAGTTCACGAAGGAGTTAAGCACGTCGGAATACGCTGTTGTATCCAGCTTCAAAAGTCTACATTGTTGTGCCAAGGGTTATAGGAGCATTGAATGGTAAGTTTGTTTTATGATTATTATATGTTAAACGTAAAAAAATATTTTTTCCTCGTTATAGGGACTTAAAAGGGCATTTGTTGTTTACATGTACGACCTATTTGTATTTTAATGCACAAACTGATAGAGGCATAACTAAATGATTTGATTGTGTTATTCCACGAGCAAACTCTCAAATAAACTTAACAAACTACCTTAAATCATTGTGTCGTCAATGTTTTAATTTAGTTATTAAACATAGCTCAACAAATCCACAAAAGTTTGACAACTTCGGGTCCTACGACCAGCGATCTGTGTTTTGTTACGTAATTTGTTTCATCTTAGTTACACGTCCGTTTAACTTTAAATTTAGCAGGTAAGAAGTAAACTGATTAAGCATTTTTATACCTCTGACAGTTGACAGTCTCTGTTAGCAATGCGCAAGAAAAGTAGAACTAGATAATAATCAGAGTACATAATAATGTTTGGATTAATTGTGCAGAACGTTTACTAATGTTATAAACCTAGCGTGGAGTGAGTCTATCTATATAATTCTGCGAACAAATTGTTTACTCTTCAGGGGTTTGTTGATGTGTCGGTGTGACGCAAGTTAACTTTTTGTAGATATCTGCAATTCTGCATACGTTCAACTGCTTTCAGCATGTTTGATGATAGATTAAAGGAGTAGACAACTACTCCATATCTTGTCATTAAATTATTAATTAACATCTTGTCTACAGTCTAATTCTTTACAAGTAATCATAAGCAAGATGTAAATGTAGAATTATTTTTTAATTCATCATCGCATTGTTGACATTAAAGGGGATAAGCGCATAATTCACAGTTTTTGTAAAATTCTCATAAAGTTACGCTAGTGAACTAACGATTTATATGTTTGTATAGATTTTGTCACTTGCTAACGAATATTAAATGATTACCACTACTGTCTGGTTGAATATAATTAGTTAAGCTAAAAATTCAATAACGTGTTTCAATTTCCAAACATTATTTTATGTCCTGTTAGTTTTGCACGTAGTAACTTGACTTCAGTACGGTCGCATTAGGGGTGGGCGTCCAACGGGAACGGACAAAACCAAAATTCTCCGAGACAGGACAATGGCCAGGTAGCGCTGTATTTCTGCGAGCTGTCAAACTCAAAAACCTCCCCTTTACCCCTCCCTCCCGGCTTTTGTCTATTCCATAATTGACAGGTTGTAAAGAGCTAATTCCTAGGCGTAGCGGGCAGTGTTGTGTTCTGGGATTTCCATTTCCACATATCCCCTGCCTACGGTTTCATGTTCAGCATTTCCACGTATGGGAACGGTGATGCAGTGTCGAGTTGTATTGATTTGCGTTGAGTGGCTTTATCTTGCCCACTCTAGATATGTAATCTGATACACAGATAGATACTGTGTGTATTGATTCGTGGTAAATTTCAATTCGCAACTGCATGTGTTTCCAAACGCGTCAATAACGTAACAGGGAAATCGAGGATTATTCGATAAAATTTTTACAGATGGACATGGTTTTAACTATGATCTTTCTGGATGTGTCAAAATTTTGGATGTGGATTTGGATAACGCTTACCATTAGGTCGGCCTCTTTTTGTAAACGGTTGGTTACCGTAGTCGTCTTGGCAAAACCTAGGTCCTGGCCAATGCACCTTTTCGCAAGCCAAAATCGCCGCTGCTTTGAAATCGTTATTTAGTATTCTTTGTAATGATAAATCCCCGATTGGGTGGCTATTGGACAAAGTATGTGGCTATCTAATGTGTGGTTTAAATTTTCAACCACAGTTCCTCAGGATCAACCCTAGCCAATATGCGTCGGACCTTTTTTACTTTGCTACATTATTATTTAATTCCGTTATTAGTCGTGAAAAGTTATCGTTATTGAGTTTTAATTTATAAATAGCTTTCGTTCCGATTCTCTAATTTTCAAGCAACCCTTCCTAGAGAAGAGGATTAGACCGAATGACGTTATCCTGTCAATCTTTGACGTTTGGATGCCGTTTGGAAGCACTCAGACATCCGAATTCATCCAATCCATTGAACCCGATCACGATAAGATGGTGTTGAGATAAAACCTTTAGTCGTGCATGGGCATTTTCTTGGTAAACGTAATAATGCATATTTATGGGACATAAGTAGTAATATTATGAAGGAAAGTCCTCTGTGCTACAGTCTTCATAATATATTTTCCGACAAAGTGGGCTTCCTTGCACTGATAATAGTACGCCAAGTAGCTAGTTGATACATTTACTTCCAACAAAAAGTGCACGATAAGTATACGACACACTGTTTAATTGGTGTACATTATAAACCATGGGTTTTGTAACATACCTAGTACAAATTATAACCTAATTTAATTTATGATTTAGATTGGGTATGAGCGAATATGTCAATTCACATGTCGGGTTGGTAAAATTAACTTTGAGCCAATTGACGTTCGTCGTTGTTAAAATTGACAGTGGCGTGTGTATTACCATAGGGAGTATGATTTATCTATGGTATTACCATTGACTATGGATACAGAAGATTGCCATTGACTATTGGATAGTCACAGGTAGTACTCTACTAAGCCTGTTGTGTTTCACTATGTTTAGAGCCATCGGTTATTTGTTGTTCTCTTGGTTGTAATGACTCATTGGGCATTACATTTCTTGCATCTGTTGGTCCTTGGTCCTGATGCGCGCGCGGATGGTGAGGATGGTGAGTCACAGGTACAATCGCTAGCGGCATGTTTTCCTTGTGGAACGATATTATGAGGTAGGTCATGACGAAATGGGACTTGCGCACCACACCAAAGACTTTCCTGGTGCTAACCATTACGGTATTCATAATTAAACCACCGCTTGCAAAAGCAAAGGTATTCCATTTCAGTCCCTGACAATAAATTTACTTCAGTTATCGATGTGTCAAAAACAAAGTTTACCGAGGAAAACACACGTGTTAAATGGTGACTATATTAACAGACTCTCAAATTTTCTATCTTCTAATTTCTATTGAGATTAATTTAGTGGTTCAAAAGAAATAGTTGTATCCAGAAAACATACGATTATTTTATAAATGTAATCGGAGTGTCTTCAACGTGTATTTTCCGTTATCTCTTTTTGTCATCGTAGTTACTACAAAACATCTAGCAAAATTGGACATTGCACCACTAGTTCGCACTTTCGTATATGAGTATCAGTATAAATAACTAACATACTTAGTTGTATTGGGTGGCTAGAAAATATATATTGACGGATGTCAAAAAATTGTCGTGTATGTACAACCGTACAGCATTGTTGTGGTCTTTGGTGGTTGGTTTGTCGAGTAACATTTTGGATTATCGTCTAGATACGGTAATTGTCGTATACAGCTTGGATTGCCTCGGTACTCTGACGTGTGTTGGTAGCGGTGAGTCATATCCCTGAGGCCAGGATCTGGTGATGACGCAAGCTCCTGTCAGATACTTTCCCCGCCAGGACGTAGTTGCGGTGGGAAACACGTCTGGAGTCGACAATTTCAGTGACTACATTATTTTGTTATCTTCACCTCCGTGCTGCAACAGCTGACACTAGGCTTTTCCTTGCACTTCTGGCGTAGATGAACTGATGAACTGAACTCTAGAATTTGTATACAAGTACTTCATGAAGATCGACACAATTTGAGCACACGTTTTAAGTCCGGCGTATATTCAGATAGTAAAAAGGGTCTGATACTGAAGATGGTCTGTGTAGCGTTGTTACCGTTAAGATCAGCTGTTTCTTCAGGATCAAGGACAGCTCGGTCATCTGGGTCCTGTTTCGAACCACAAAGTTCTTACCAGGTTGAACTCTTGCTCCTTTCCTTTTGAATATATTTTTATACACCTTCCCGTTATGTAGTATGAATAATTGTTTGAACTTATGGATACCATTTAAAGTTACTTGAGATTCAGTTTTAATTTTTAAACACTTTATGACTTAGTTAATCTATTAGTTAATACCTGAAGCACCATAAAATTATGTAGGATATTGATAAAATTTCACTTACGAAACCCAACCCACAGTACCGATTTGTACCGATGAAAACATCTTTGATAGTGTTTCAAGAGAATTGCTCAATGATATCAATATCTATTAAACAAACAATCAATAGTTGATAAAGTTAAATAGGTTGCAAAAGTGAACGCTATTTACGAGATCATAGACTCTACAGTACAGTCTGTGATGCATAGATCATAGACTCTACAGTACAGTCTGTGATGCATAGATCATAGACTCTACAGTACAGTCTGTGACGCATAGATCATAGACTCTATAGTCCTGTGACGAGATATAATAATTAAAACCGCGCGGCGTATCGAATTGGAATACAGTCAATACAAAGCCCGTGTCTGAAATTTCCTTATTACAATTTCCCCGAACCTTTTAACGGTACTGACGTTTTTCCGAAGAGTTAATTTATTTCTCTTCGAAGTATTGAATATTTCGCATGTGACGACAAGCCCGAAAACTAAGCTGTTTTTATTCTGATCGGACTCTTGGGCTCCGCCCCAGTGGCTCTGGAGTTTCCCATGTTAACCTTATGAGTTTTCATATTTAAATGGAATTAATGAATCTTAACAGCTGTTTCAATAAAACAAGTTGGTTCTGTTCTATGATGTTCAATAGCATTAAAGTTACAAGGATTACCAACAGGGTGCAGCACTATTTTTTCTTTTACATTTATGACAACAGCTAATTTGCAACCAAAAGGTGAGTGAGCGTAGCGAACAAACTTCAACCTGGAGGCGAGTTAGCGTAGCGAACGAGCTCCAACCTAAAAGTGAGTGAGCGTAGCGAACGAACTTCAACCAGGACGTGATTGAGCCATGCGAACGAGCTCACTTATGAAGTGGGGCAAAGCCCGCGGGTACAGCTAGTTATTCTATATTTTAAAAAGAGGAATCCTTGAAAATAAGTACAATACAGGAGTAGATGATTGTAGTCTGTCCATAATATGCGGTAGTGCAATAATAACAGCTGTTCCTATAACAAATATCGGGGATCCAGT